ATATATATAATGAAGAGGGATTCGTTTATTTCATAAATGAGTTTACTTATATTTATTTAGTTTAATAATTCATGTTCTACATCAAATTTTAATGGAACATGAGTTATTAAATGAAATAATTTAGTTAAACTTACAGACTTATTCTTAGAATAAACAAATCTCTTAATTCATTGACTCCTTAAATTATACTCCCTCTATTTTTTATTCATAGTCATTTAAGATTTTGTATGAGACTTTGATATTTTAGTTTTCAAAAATATTTATTCCTTACTTTCTTATTCTACCCTCTATTTTTTATAGTATTTTGTTGGAAACATATTATCTTTTTAAATGCAACATTAACTACACATAAGTAGTTGGAGAAAAAATAGGTAGACATTAGAAATAAATAGACACATTGTTCAGTAAACATACATTAATTATCAAGGGTAACAATAAGAAAAAAAATTAATAAGTCATTGATTTTAGTAAAATGACAATAAAAAAAAATGACAAATTCTGACAAAATGACTATGAATAAAAAATAGAGGGAGTAAGATCCAATCGCATTACTCTCAAACAAAAGTTACATTTAAGACAACATAAAGTTAGAATTAATGATGGAATAACACCAATTTAGAAGCAAAGAGAGGCGTCGTGAACAAATCTATGCTAGTGTGTAAATACAAATAAATGGAATGTCAAGTCTATGTTGGTAGTGTAAACTATTAGTACGATAAACAAAAGATATGTATAAAATTTTTTATACATCGAAATTAATAGAACTATGGGTTATAAGTTTAATTTGTGTTAAACAATGACCACACTAATGGAAGCAAACCTATAGTGACTAATATTTTTTGTTCATTAATATATGACATTTTTTATTTATGGTGGAAGTGTTAAATAATGCACAAGGATTTCAACCACAAGTGATCTTTAAATTTCCCAGATTCTACATCAACCAAAACAAATGAAAATGATAACATACAAAATGCCAAATTGATGACTCGATTGATTGAACAAGAAAGCAAGCGAACTAAGGTATCAAAAGGAACACCTTAATTAGGAGTCCAAGATGTTGACCACCCTTGATCCAATACAGTGGACAGAATTATGCTACCCCTCCCCATACTTAGTGTTTATTGACACCTATTATCTCAACTTAAAAATTGATAAAATGATATTGGCAAGATGAGTTACTTATCACGAGCGACAGAAACCCAAAGAAGGCCAACAAGACCATAAATAATATTATCAGCAATGTGGTCTAAATGGAGAGGTGCACGTTGTATTCCTAGAAAATACTAAAAAGCAGACCCCATAAAACCTAGAAATCTAAAACAAGGTGGGTACTACACCCAGACAACATTTTCTTGACACCACCTAGACGAAGCAAAATAATGTTGACTTGAGTTTAATTAACCAGTATGGTCTACTCTAAAGTCCAAACAGCAAGAGTGATACATTCAGGGAAAGGGAGATGAACCAACCCTATCACCACGTCATCACCCCTTCCCCTCTCTTGAAAAGATAATGTTGCTCCATATCAATTACTACCAAGTGCGAAATATTCAATGCAGTACTGTCCAATCAATGCCATTTCTCACACTACAAGCCTACAACTTTCCATTAATTTCCTCTCCTCAATATTGAAGTACAATAAAATGGACAACAACTATCTAGAACATTGAAGAGTCAAACTCAAATTTAAACAATAACAACAACGTGCCCTTACCACAAACTCCAGCACATAGCTCTCCAATCTTATTCCCCGGACCATTTCAAACTTCATCCTTATTAGTTATTACCTACACACAATCATAATTGAACACCTCTACCAAAAATTGCATATTGATTAGACAGATGAAAAAGAAAAATCAACCAACAAACAAACAAACAAAGTACTACAAAATATCTTAAAGATAATAACATCTACTCCACTCGAGTCTCTCAGAAGAACAAATTAAAAAAAGGAAAAAAAAATCCTAACCTTACAAGAAAAAGCGTCAGAAATTAACATACTTGACATGTCAGTAAGATTAAACAGGCTTAGAAAGAAGGAGGAGGAGGACGAGGTGGAGCTCCCCAGAACACATCATGAGGCATATTCTGACCATTGTGTAGCAAATTAGGAGGCAAATTATACATAGGCATTGAAACCTGTTCACCCAAGCCCTGAGATTGTTGTGGTTGTTGTTGTTGTTGCACTTGCATTTCTTCCTCACCTTGTTCCTCCTCTAGCGGCAGCCTCTCATAAGTGGCATTAGCAAAAGTGGCGGCGATGACCATGACGGGACCGGAGGCCAAAAGGGAGCCCGCGACGGCGCCGCCGACGACCTGCCCCTGGCCGCCGGCCAGGTACACGGTGAGGCCGGTGGCGCCGGGCGGAGAGGGGGAGGGCAGAAAGGCGCCGGAGAGGGAGAGAATCTCGAACCTGCCGTGCAGCGTGATGACGCCGGCGGGTGCGGCGGGCTGGCGGAGCGTGACGTTGGTGACAATGCCGCTGCCGCTGAGCACCGAGACACCGCGGTGGCGGCGGTTGGCAAAGGCGGCGATGGTCTCGGCGACGTCGCTGCCGCTGCCGATTTCCAGGACGTGGCTCC